AGGGACAGTGTTGACATGTCGTGGGGTTGTTAACCATTGTCATAGGGCAATATGTATACTGTTTAATGAGAAACTATTTGTTCTGTAAACCTTCATCTAAGGTACAAAAAAAAAAGGAATTATCTGTGTGAGATCAAACTGACAACAGCAACTCAAAAGGTTTGATGGGAAGCCTAGGGGACAGTGAGTTGAAGACAATGGTGATGGAATAATTTGGAAAAGGATAGTGAGAAGAGCAGACAACTGGAAGAATGTAATCGATGTCAGTGAATTGTATATGTAGAAACTTTTGAAATGGTGTAACTTTGGCTATGTATATTTTCACCAAAAAAAAGTCCTCCAAGGTTGAGAAAGGAGTGTTGACATGTCATGGGGTTATTAACCAATGTCATAAAACAATATATGTATTGACTGTTTAATGAGAAACTATTCTGTAAACCTTCATCTAAAGTATAATTAAAAAAAAAAAAAAGAAGCAAGGGTATGATGGTTACACAACATGGTAAATGTAATTAATGTTACTGAACTGTACACTTAGAACGGTTAAAATGGCAAATGTCTTGTTTTATATGTATTATATATATCACAATGAAAATTTATCTCACAATACAGCTTTTACTGTATCTCATAAGGAAAAAAACGAAAGAAAAAGCAGATCGAGAGGAACATTCTAACAGACATCTATATTTGCAAACAAAGGCACAAGTCTACATATCGCAAATAGTTAGCAACATATTTGGACGTGAACAAGGTTTGGAGGCAATGTTTTCAGATGCCTCTTTTTCCCTGCAGGGTTTGCAGCCACCTGCAGCTAAGCTCAGAACGTTATTTACCAAGCGCACCTGCAAGTCCTAGCAATAACCACCCATCTAGTATAATCATCATCTTCTTCAGCATGCAAAGCACCAGCTCCGTGAAAGGCAAGCACTTTCCAGGTGTCCCTCGTGGCAGCCCTGAGAGGGGCTGACAGATGAGTCCCCGCCTCACAGACAACCCAACCAGATTATGTCAATTTGGCATTTTTGGTCCCAGTTTCATGACTCACTTTGTCCGGAGTCCATCTTCCCTAGTCACATCAACAAGTGGCCCAATGGCTTAGAACCGAGCTATATACTGTTATTGTAAGTCACACACATGTTGTACAATCCTTACAGTATTTAAGGCCCCCGGGTGCTACAAGCAGTTTGCAATTGGTTGGCAGTCTAAAGGTTGGTGGTTTGAACCTACCCTGTGGCACTGTGGAAGAAAGGCCTGGCAATCTGTTACCATGAAGATTACAGTCAAGAAAACCCTATGGAGCCATTCTACTCTGTAACACATAGGCTCACTATGAATCAGAATCGACTCAAAGGGAAACTTTTGTTTTGTTTTGTTTTGGTTTGGTTTGTTTTTTTTTTACAGTATTTAACACACTTGGCGCAGGACTGGGCAGTGTTTTGTTCTGTTGTACACAGGGTCGCTATGAGTCAGAACCAGCTCGATGGCACCTAACAACAACAACAATACAATTTCACACACTACCAGATACTGAAACAAACTCTAAGCTTTCAGATAAAGGGATCACAGTCCCCAGAAAGTGGCTCGTTCTCAGAGTTAAGACACGGAACAGGCAGCGCTAGAATCCGATATGTCATTTCACTCTTCAACCAGTGACCTTTACAGAGGTTGAAATCTAAGCAACCACATGGGTAGACATGAAAACTTTTTTTTTTCCTCAGTCAACTGACAGAGGAGATGACAGAGCAGGATTTGAAGTATCCCTTTTGAAAACTATTTTCATTACAAAAGCTCTGGTTTGTCTGCATTTTCAAGCCTATGTTAACAATCAAATGAAGTCATTAAGCTCAAGCCAGCTCAGAATGCTTCTTGCCCGGGAATGTATTCCTCTTGCAAACCCCAGAGCTCTGCCATAATCCTTCAAATTACTAAATAATTGCTGCCTTTCCCTTGGGGTCACATTTGGCAACAAAATACTGGTCTAAATGAACCAGTGGTATGACCCAGTGAATAATACTTAGGTTCGTAACTTTCTAGAAGCAAAAAAACATGAAATACCTCTGAGGTACAAACTGAGAGGGAAAATGAAGGGTATTTTGTGGGGTTTGGAGGGTGGGGGGAGCAGAAAGACAAAGAAACATGAGAATAGGGAAAATATTTCAAGAATTAGTGTCACGTCCTCCCCAGCCAACCCTGTGGATCAGCAATCCTTCCATTTTAGGAGTGGCTTAGAGCCACCAGGAGAAAACCAAGCATATGGCTCCGTCCTTCTGGACATTTCTACAATGTTGGCTCGGCTGCTTTGGAAAAATCCCATTCTATCTCCTAAAGCTATATGACCTCAAGTTGTCATTTCCAATAAAATAGGTATCTACTGATCTTTATGAACACAGACAAAAAAAGCTGGTACAACCTTTAAAAAAAACACACACAAAAAAAACTTTCAAACCAACTGCAGTTGCTATGTAGGGTTATTTGTTTCTAAGGCGACAGCGTATATCTAAGTACTAATGGCCTGTCCTTTTGCCAGGCAACAAACAGCCTTGTGATGCAACCGCACCTGTCTTGGCTACGCGTTACTATGGAGACGCTCCTGTTACTATGGCTACCCTCAAGCTAATCGCCTCGCAAAGGCAGACATACAGCAGTCTTCACAGAGCCCAGCTGTTCCTCCCGGTCTCTTGCTGAAGACTGATTGTCTAGTCCTGTGATGGAATGCTTCTCAACTGAGATGCACAAGAACTTCATTAATGCTATTTCAGAAGATCACTTTGTGCTCCCCTGCAGAACACACATCAGACTAGGCAAAGGCTCGGCAAAGACTCTGCAAAGCAGTCAACTGTAAAACTACTGCAATCTATTTGTGAATTCACGCCATCCCTGACTGACGTAAAGTTGCCTTCCAAGGGCAATTTCTCTTAACTGGGTGATTGTAATAGAAAGATTTCTATACATTTTTTGGAAATTTTTCTTGTAGGGCTGGGGGGGGGGTGCATTTCAAACCTAAGCACTATGTAAAGATAAAAATCAATTTAAAAATTTGGCTGTGTGTCATGTGGCTATTTTTTCAGCATCGAACATTAACACACTTTTTCAAAAAGTAACCAGACTACTTATCCTCCCCTCAGATTATATCTTTGTAAACATGGCAGCCATGACCTCACGGTCTCAAAACACACAGACAGGGGGAGAGGGACAGAAGTCTCCCCTATTCTCCTTGAAGAGGCAAACACTGAGTAACGACAACAGAAAGACTGCTCGGGACGCTGTCCACATGGAGACCAGGAATGACAACAATGGAACCAGTCCTTCCGAGAACGCCTGTGGAGACACTAGGCAGATGATATGAAGACAGAATCGCTGGCTTCACTCTTTCCTGTACTTCTAACCCCGCACAACGTGGCACACTGAGACGGTAAAGCTGTCAGCTTTTCTTTGTAAATGTTTCTACCCAGGAAGCTGATATTTTACCCACCATGAAGCCGTATGGAAACACATTCCTTCAAAGGAGCAAAAGCGGTAAGGCTTACAGAAAATAAAACAACGGAGATGTCTACTAATAATGCTTAATTTCTTTCTCCTTTTATCTTTGGTTATTTTTAAAATCTCATACAGACTGTTAAAAATTTGTTTCCGCACCGTTCTCTGTCAGAGTAATTCAACTTCAGTAGACAAAGGAAAAAAAAAGTCTGAATTGCTTACCTTTGATATGCCTGAGGAGAGGTTGGAGGTGTATTGAACACGTGTGAGTATGGGTGGTAAGGTGTCTTTTTCAAAGCCTGAATTAGATTTTGTCTATACTCTGGGTCTATGCACCACAATGACCCTTTCCCAATACTCTGCAAAAAAAATAAAAATACAAAAGTAAGTATTTTGCAGTAAGTATATATATAGCTATTATACCAGTTATTTTTAAAAGGATCTCATTTGTTGACTGTTTGCCAGCCTTAAATATTGTCCTCTGACAACAGTACACCATAAAATGCATTTCAGTCTTAGCTGTATTAAGTTTGATAGACAATATGAATGCATGTTATTAACAGGTTACACTGATACTATAATTTTCATATACTGTCGTTGTCGTATGCCGTTGAGTCAATTCCGACTCATAGGGACCCTACAGGACAGAGCAGAACTGCCCCATAGTTTCCTTAGTCTGTAATCTTTATGGAAGCAGATCTCCAGGTCTTTCTCCTGTGGAGTGGCTGGGTGGGTTCAAACCTCTAACCTTTCGGTTGGCAGCGGAGCACTTAACCATTGCACAGCCAGGGCTCCTTAACTAACTACCCAAAAAGAAAATCAGAATCCTTCATTATTTTTCAGTGTGACTTTTGAAGAACAAATGTATGCTTTTCTAGAAATGAGCCTTAAATTTGTCAGATTTCAAATGCAGAAAGAAAAAGAGGGCCGAGGCACCCTCCCAACTTATCTGCTTTACAAATAAGAGAATTATGTTTTTAAACCATATCACATTGGTACCATTTTACAAAACGGGAATAGTAATCCGCTTGGGTTTTTTTTCCCAACTTACCCATAAAAGCACAACATTTAAGCTTGGAATGGAATTCTGTAATTACCCTCCCCAAGAAACAAAAGAACCCAGGCAGCAACAGCAAACCTAAGCCAGAAGCCAATATTTATTTTTTGGATTTCACAGCAATCTATCTTCTCCAGCTCCAACAAGTTCAATTTTTAGAAGTCAATCTTAAAAATGCAAATTTTCTACAACTGTTCCATTGAGAACGGGAGCCTGCTTCTGAGGCCCACTTTCAGTTGGCGGCTTTTGGTCTATGGACAGCTTTTTACCAAAAAAAAAACTGCAGTCCTTCCTCATAGGCCCACGGACCTGGCAGCCAGCCTATGGGCAGTTACTGCTCCAACCACACGCTTTCAAGTGGCAAAATGTACCCCAAATATCTGATAAGGTCATTTGCAAATATTTACCGATCTGGAGAGAAAAGAATGTAAATTACACAAACCCAGGCCCACCCTTGCTCTCAGCCAACGGACTCCCTTCGTTCCAGAACTATTGTACTACAGAAAGATTGACGCTGTCCTCCAACATTTAGAAAGCAAACAACAAAACTGTTTAACTATGGGGGGGAAAGTCCAAGAAAACCCCTCTGAAGGAGAACTAAAAATACTTTATTCCTAAAATCTCTAACCCAAACCTGTTGCCGTTGAGTCAATTCTGACTCACAGCAACCCTATAGGACAGAGTAGACACTTTGGTTAGTAGCTGAGCTCTTAACCACTGTGCCACCAGGGCTCCAACATCTCTAAAGAAGCTTTAAAGATTTTATTTTTCAGCCATCAGTTCACCAAATGGTTATCTGGTAACGGTAACCTTCTTCACAAAAAAACAAAAAACAAAAACTGGCTGCTGTCAAGCTGTCAAATCAACTCCAACTCACGGCGACCCCACGTGTGTCAGAGTAGAGCTGTGCTCCATAAGGTTTTCAATGGCTAATTTTTTGGAAGTAGATTGCCAGGCCTTTCTTCTGAGGTGCCTCTGGGTGAATTCAAACCCCTAACCTTTCTCTTAGCAGCTGAGTGTATGAAGGTTTTTGCACCACCCAGGGGCTCCTACCTTATTCAGAGAGCCCACTAAAACACTTTGTTATTGTTACGGGCCATTCAGTCATTTTCAACTCCTAGTGACGCCACGTGACAGAACAGAACTGCCCCACAGGGTTTTCTAGGCTGTAATTTTTATGGTAGCAGACCACCAGGTCTTTCCCCGAGGAGCTGCTGGATGGGTTCGAACTGCCAACCTTGAGGTTGGCAGCCAAGTGCTTCAATGTTGCACCACCAGCGCTCCTCCTGAAACACTTTATTATCAACAATATGAGCAACCAGTGCAACTGGGAGGAACTCTTTTTGGTGCACTAAGAGTAGGGGAACTGTTCAAAGCCAAGGTCAGTACCTTGAAGCTCTGAACCACCCAGTGACCCACCCCCAGCGCAAGTCTGAGCACAGAGGTCCAAGTCAGGCTGACCTTTCTACGCGAGGCATCCATGTTCCCAGTTTAATCACCCAGTTGTTTAAAGAAACACAAGATTTCAACTTGGAAAATCCAACGTCCTCCCGTGGTCGTTCTTTCCATACATATATTTTCAAGCCCAGAATAGTTCAGGGAAGCTGATGAGACTTTCCAAGTCAAGCAGGCACGCCACCAAATAACCCACCCTAGGACTCTGTCTTCTCCTTCGGAAAAAAAAGCCATGCAACACACTTTTTAGAAGAAAGCCAAAATCTAAGAGGGAGTGGCGAGGCACAGGGGTGGAGACCAGTAACTACCGCACTTGGATAACATAAAACACACCACAAAAGCAGTAAGCGCCTCAATAGTAGGGGTCCTGGCCTGGCTCCACCAAAGGTTCGTTGTGGAATCCTGTGCCAGGCAGACCCCCCCTTTCTGATTCCCTTGAACTCATGGCTCCAAACCAGCCAGAGGTCTAAGCACCGGGGGCTGACTGTGGCCCCATTCGCAACCTGCCCATTTCTCTAATGAGATCAGCTTGGTGCTGGGAATCTAATGGCTTTTGTTTGCACCAAGGCGGCTTTCAGGGTGGGGCCTTTTCATCTTACACCAAATAAAAACATGACAAAGAAATGAAGGTCAACTGACCCTCTTAGTGAAGAAGGAGCCAAGAATGCGGTTTTGCCGAATCCTGACCTAAGTTTTTGTTGACTGCACTATACTACTATTTAAAAACTAAAGGGAATGAAACTGCAGGATTGTGCAGGACAGTTTATAAGGTAACCAATCCAGGTGCAGAGAGGCAGGCGGTGTACTGCTAAGAACAGAGGCTCTGACCAAAAGTCCTTTCCTACGTGTTGCTGTTAACTGCCCTCATGTCAGCCCCGACTCATCCCACGCACGACAGAACAAAACACTGCCCGGTCCTGCACCATCCCCATGACTGGTTGTGAACTGAACCATTGTGAGCCATAGGTTTTCACTGGCTGATGTTCAGAAGGAGATCATCAGGCCTTTCTTCCTAGTCTTAGTCTGGAAGCTCCGCTGAAACCTGCTCAGCATCATAGCAACAGGTAGTCTCCACTGACAGACAGGTGGTGGCTGCACATGAGGTGCACACACCATAGTGCCACAGAAAGTCTTAGCTTCCTCACTGGTAAAACACAGACCCCTTAGAGACTGAGCAAGACCCAGAGATGGTGTGACTGAAAGCACCTAGAACAGCAATGGTACCTACAAGTCATCACCGTTCTAAGACATGCAACACAGATGACCGTACAATGACTTTCATGGAACTAAATCTGATTTTCCCAAAGCTTCGGGAAAATTATAAAAGAATTACATTTAAAAAAGCACTAAATTCCACTGGGTGGGCCTCCAGTGAACTGATGTGGCCGGCACGGAGCAAAATGGCAGTCGACGCCTGTGTCCTATTGGTTCTGGCTTAGCAAATTCACTTAGAAGATCTTTCCTACATTTTAAGATGCCCCTTTATTTTCGTTAGTTCCCTATTCTGTGTTCTCCATGCCCCATACACTCTCCACTTCCTCCTTGCTCGAGAGCCAGTATCACACACTCATAACAACCTAGCTACTAGAAATTTTCTTTTGCTCAGGTCTTTGCACAGTGATCATTAAGCAGAGGATGGATTACAATCTTGGTAAGCATGTATGGCAGTATCGCAATATTTATTACCAGTGGCCATCAAGTTGAGACCAATGCATGATTTTTCAGACGTAGATTACCAGGCTTTTCTTCCAAGGTGTCTTTGGGTGGGCTCTAACCTGCAACCTTTTGGTTAACAGCTGAGCATGTTAACTGTTTGCACCACCTAGGGACTCCACAATCTTCATTAACCAGAGACGTTTTCCCAGGCTTTGGATCGTAAGAAATGGCTCCTACCATCCATAGCTCTGCCTTTTACAATCATAAATGTCTGGAATCACAGGCAGGCTCTTATAGACCAGGCACAAAGTTTAATATAGCTTGTACTTTTAATTGTAGGCATTACAAAGAGAAAAGGACAAAAACAAAAAAGCACCTGCAGGACACACCCATGGGGACACTGTCCATCCTTCCAATGGCTGTACCCTGGAGAGTTGGATGCAGAGCTTGGCAGGAGTAGGAAAGAAGGTGGTGGCGCTGCATCTCATTTTTAAGCATTTTCTTTAGTTTCAAGTAACAGTTCAAAAAAGTAAAAAGGTTTACTTGAAAACTTTTAAAGTGGAAATATGCAGAGGATGGAATGCTCAAGTTTCTTAGGCCAGGAAAAATTACATTTAATGCCCCCCTAACAGCGGAAAGAAGGACGTAACTTGATTATAGTTGGGTAATAAGTTTGAGAGTCAGAGCTTTCACAGAAATATGTGTATCACATCTGAAGACGAGAATATGGATTTTTTTTAATAGAAATAACAGAGAGGGCCACACATCATCAAATGTTAAGAAATTCAAAATAATAAAGGAAGAAAGATCTTCATTTATAGACACATTTTTATGTTAAAAATTCATATACCAGAGAAAACTATTGTAAAAAAGCAGGAAAAAAAATGCGTAAAAAGTATGGATGGGGACTTTTTTTTTTTTTTTTTTAATTAAACAGTACCCGGGGATAATAGAGAACAAGCTGTTAGTGGTAAAACCATTAGTACACAAGAGGGAAGACAGACAAGAAGAACCTATATTCTAGAAAAAAACTGATTGCTGAGAAAGGTTAAAAAAAAAAAAAAAATTAAGCCTAACAACTGAATTAAATCTAACTTCTAAAGGTAAAGGTGACTTCCTGAGAAGTCTAGATCAGCTGGTGGTCTCTGCAGGCTCATTAATCTCTCATATTCCCCTATCCCCTTTGGACAG